CTTGAGGTGAACTAGATTAAAAAAAAAGAATTTACCAGAGATGTCGTTATTGGGAGGGAAACCATTGAGAAATCCATGAGCAGAAGTCATCTGCGTCAAATAAGTCGTAGGAGCATGAAAACAAAAAGGGCATACGGAGTGACAGATCAAAATTGTCCAATGGTTAGACTAAGATTTGAACCGTTGTATCTTAGAAATGATTAAAGATATCTTACTGGAATTTTCCGAGGTTTTTATAAAACTATTGGACTCTACTTTGAGCAATAAGAAGGCATAATTATTCTCCAAGCTTAACAGAACAATCAAGATGAAATTGATCATAAACAAAAATCTTCAATTTACCAAGATTACATTTGTGTGTGTGTTTTTTGTGGGAAAATAGTATATATATATATACTATTTTCATACAAATATATATATATATATATATATATATATATATATATATATATATATATATGAATGATCGAAATAAAAGTATAAAACTTAATATTACGAGATATATTAAAAACGGGCGAAGCAACCGGTTTCTCTCCCGCTCTTCAGGTTTCAACGGGAGATTTAAAATCAACACAGAAAAATGTACAATAAATTTTATTTTTATGTCTCATAATATTAAGTTTTATACTTTTATTTCGATCATTAAATTTTGTACCTAGAAAAATATCTTTATATATATATATATATATATATATATATATATATATATATATATATATTGCTGACATGTATACATTCACGAGACATTCACGAGTAATTTTCGCTACACTTCCGATCTTTGAATTTCAACATACGAATGCGTATGTATAGAGACAACAGCACACATATACATACATATGTCAAATCCCATACTGTCCACATATGTTTATATATGTATGAGTGCCGGCGGACAAGCAAGTGTGTATGTGTGTCTGCGTACCTCATCGGGTGTACGTACATGCATCTATGTTTGCGTTAGCATGAGTGACATCACGATGACGATCCCCCCCCCACTTGCATAATAACACCAATACACGCAATCTACAGAAACCCAAAAATTAAAAAAAAAATAATCGGTTTCTCTGACGATCGCAAAAGCGTGAAACCCAGGGTCACAAACTCACATCAATCCAACCAATTATATATATACTGGGTGTGACAGTAAATTTGACCAAACCGTGTAACGTTAAACTAAAATTTGAACCGTTGTAACTTAGAAATGATTTAAGATATCTTACTGGAATCCGCCGAGGTTTTTATAGCACTATTGGACTCTACTTTGAGCAATAACAATGTATAACCCTAACCCTACTCTCCAAGCTTAAGAGAAGAATCGTGATGAAATTGATTATAAACCAAAATTACATGTGCATCGTTAATTAATCATAGCTAAGAAACGGAATCTCATGAATTATTGAAATAAAGTTCACACACACACACACACACACACACACACACACACACACATATATATATATATATATATATATATATATATCGATTCTCCCGTCGGGTTCGACGTATGAGGGTCAAGTAGATCAGTTTTTCAGGAAACTGACAGCCCGACACCGGCACATAAGATTCGATTATAGTGGTGAAGGTTTCGTGCAGGACCAGCTACACTTTTTGAAGGGCTGAATACAGAGACCTGGTGCACTACGTGCCACAAGGTCCCCACACAAACCCCCTCAGGTTTTGAATTCAGAGTTGTCCTTCTCCTAGACCAGTTGCCATCCAAGGCTATAGAACCCAGTCTGTCCTGCTATTTAACTCATAGCTGGAGGGAGAAGAAGAGGATTCACAGCTTTCTCAAGGTAAGCATGTAAGTGAATGTAATGGGTTCAACCTGGATTCGAACACGGCTCTGCGATTCCACAATCCAAGCCGATATCCATTACCCTACCGTTACCCCACTATACAGGATCATTTTCGAATTTCCTCAAAATGTTCTTCGCCCCGTCTTACCTTCGAACTTTCTTACAAGGTGCCTTTCATGCATGATTTTTCACTGCTCTTTGGACTGTCATAGCTGAAACTCCTCTCTCACGTGCCAAATCTCTTATGGATTGAGTTGGATCTTTTCTAATTGATCTCTTTAGCCCTAAGTTGAAATGATGATCTCTCTTCCTGCTGTCACCTCCTGGTCCAGTTTTCCTCTCTACTGTTCCCTCTTTTTTAAACTTATTCACTGTTCTCTTGATGGTTCTTGAATGACGATGGAAGCCAAGGTAAGAATGTTGATACCATTACTGAAGGCTTGATCTTTTCCTCTCACCATTTCTCAGTTGGAAAGACAGTAGGGGTGACACAAAACGATTTTAACCTGTTCTTTTTCTAGCTGAATAACTCAAAGGGTTTTTCAGTTAATTCTTACCACAAATGGTGTCAAGATGGCTAAAAGTCTTATCTGAAAACCTGGAAAAAAGAAACTCAATTAGTTTAGCGTTTTTTTGAAATTTTTTTAGATATTAAATATTTTGTGGAATGGACAATTATGCTGTTACACGATTTGGACAATTTTTCTGTTACACCCGGTATATACGGAGAATCAGAAAGAGACGGCTGAAATTTAAATATAATGAGGTAGGAAGGCTAGTAGAATTTAACACTCACAAGGTACACTGAGAGGATATCAATGGGCCACCTACCTTGTGAATGGATTACGCAACGGGGAGCGGTTCGTTTGGAATATGGACAAACGTTGCTAAGGGCTACAAGTGATGTGGAGTGTCATGTCGCCCAGCTACTGAAAAAAAACAACACACACACACACACAGCGCGTGGTCGGGAAGGGTTAGACGTCTGCACAGGGAAGTAGTCGGCGTATGGTTGATTGCAATCGAAAGGGCGAGAATATCTGCAAACCGAACACACAGTAAAACAAGAAATGGTAAAATGAATTTATAAACCTATTTACCATGTCCTTTCAGGGAGTATGTCGATCATCTCTCTCCACAACTTCCTTTACTTTCTAGCTTTTAGGAAAGTTTGTCTTTTTTGCTATCTTTCCTAATCCCTTTTCTCCCAACAACTTTCTTAGGTACATTATGCACCGATCTCATTTGTCCTTCTTGCCTTCGATATGTCCTGTGAGTATTAGATTTTCCACGCCTTATTTCCTTATTATGAGCTACAGAAATTTCTCTCTTTATCGTGCTTCGTCTAAGTACTTTTTTTGTTTCCATTTTTTCTAATACTACACTTTAGTCCAAGGTATTCTGAGCATCCTTCTGTAGAACCTGATTTCTATTGCTTGAAGTCTCTTCCTCATCTTTGAGGAGACTTTCCCGCATTCACTGCCATATATTGTGTAGCAGTTCAGTAGTCTTTTTGTTTCTGATGAATTTCTGTTTCTTAGTACTTTACTTAGCTTTTGCAAGGCATTTTTCGATATCCCAAAGCGTCTTCAAATTTCAGTGTCCCACTTCCTATCAAAGATCGCTAAGGAGATTATGCGCGGTTTTCCTATGTCCCTCTTGCCTTCAATCTGTCCTGTGAGTATCAGATATTCCAAGCCATCTTTCCTCATTATGTGCCCTAGAAACTTCAACAGTCTCTTCCTGATGATAAGTATAATTTTCCTTTTTGTTTCCATTTTCTCCAAAACTTCGTCGTTGCTCACATGGTCGGTCCACAACATCCTCAGCACCCTTCTGCAGAACCAGATTTCTGCTGCTTCAAGTCTTTTCATATGTGAAGAGATTGCCAAGAATTCGCTGCCATGTAGGCCGACTGATATTAGACAAAAGTTCACTACTCCTTTCTTTGTTTCTGTTGCTTCAAGTCTCTTCTTCATCTGTGAGGAGATTGTCGAGCATTCACTGCCATGTAGGACGACTGATATTGAACAACAGTTCAGTACTCTTTTCTTTGAGTCTGTTGCTTCAAGTCTCTTTTTCATCTGTGAGGAGATTATCGAGCATTCACTGCCATGTAGGACGACATATATTATACAGCAGTTCAGTACTCTTTTTTTTTTATTTTGTTGCTTCAAGTCTCTTCTTCATCTGTGAGGAGATTGTCGAGCATTCACTGCCATGTAGGACGACTTATATTACACAGCAGTTCAGTATTCTTTTCTTTGATTCTGTTGCTTCAAGTCTCTTCTTCATCTGTGAGGAGATTATCGAGCATTCACTGCCATGTAGGATGACTTATATTATACAGCAGTTCAGTACTCTTTTCTTTGAGTCAGTTGCTTCAAGTCTCTTCTTCATCTGTGGGGAGATTGTCGAGCATTCACCGCCATGATATTCCAAAACAGTTAGGTTGTCTTTTATTTGCTTCTAATTAAATTTTCCTGTTTATGAATACTCTGCTTAGCTTTTGGAAGGCGTCTTTGGCTATCCCAATGCGCGAACGGATTTCCGTGTCTCACTTTCGGTTCTCTGTTACAAGGCTTTCTAGATATTTAAATTTTTGTACTTGTTTAATTTTGGCTATCTCCAATTTGTCATTCGCATGCTGATCTGTTTCGGTCTATGCTAACCATGCAATTTTATCTTCCTACAATTGAAGTTTAGTCATTTCTTATCGCTGTACTTCACTGCCTTCTTCAGGAATTCCTTTTCTCGTCACCTTATCAACACTGTTTCATTTGCATATCTAATGTGAAAATTGTAGCCGTCCTCTGCACTTCTGCTTCTCTTAGGATTGCTGCACTGTAAAGTCCGTTGAGAAGCCACATCCTTTTCTTACAGCCCTTTCCATTTTGGCGTAGATACTGAATTCATTTTCTATCCGTATGCAGGTGGTTTGTTTCACGTATATGTTCCGTACTGACTCCTGATCCGGTATTGTTCCACGGAGCTCGTTTTCCAAACGTCCATCCTTTGCACGCTTGATCAACATTCTTTTTTACTTTTTCCCCATCTCTCGGGTTTCCTGTTTTGTTCCGATCTCTATCTCTTGATTTTCAAACTCTCGTAAATTCTCGAGAGATAATTACTCTTATCTGCCATGTTTGCTGTGCGTGTCTTAATCAAGTGATTGAATTTCCTTGTGTTTTCCAATGGACGGCCATGTTTTTCTTGGACTCTTCTCAGTTTCTTGCGGCCTATTTTCATTTCTTTCTTTTTTTTTCTTTTCACACCACCTTTTCATTTACCCTTTCTTTCTTTTTGTTTCTTTATTTTGTTTGTTTCGTTGCACTTAATTCTGTCCTTTTCGTTCCTTTCTTTTTGGTGTGTAATTACTTTCTACTTTATCTCTTTGTACATCATTCTTTCTTTTTTTCTCTTTCTTTCTTTCTTTCTTTCTTTTTTCTTTCTTTCTTTCTACACCACCCCTTCTATTATTTTATACTTTCTTTCTTTCTTTCTTTTTTACACCACCCCTTTAATTCATTCATTCTTTCTTTCTTTCTTTCTTTCTTTCTTTCTTTCTTTCTTTCTTTCTTTCTTCTCATGCAACTTTTTCTCTTTTCCTTATTTTTACAGAACTTTTTCTTTCTTTCTGTCGTTCTGTTCACTTCTTTCTTTCTTTTTTACCTAAACCTTTCCTTTCCTTTCCTTTCCTTTGTTTGTTTGTTTGTTTGTTTGTTTGTTTCTTTCTTTCTTTCTTTCTTTCATCTCCCCCCTTTCTTCTTCGATTTTCTTTTTCTTTCTATTTACCTCCTTTCTTTTTACTTATTTCCATTTCATTGAAACAGAGTTTAAGTGCGTGGCAACGTTATCGCTTTCTCTATCTTCCCATTCTTTCTTTCATTCTTTCTTTCTTTCTTTCTTTCTTTCTTTCATTCTTTCTTTCTTTCTTTCTTTTTTTCTTTCTTTCTTCACATTGTATATTTCATTCTTTCTGCTTAATCCTATTGTCTTCAAATAATTGACATTTTTTCTTCAGGTTTATTTTCCCGTTTTGGAGGGTTTTTTTTCCTTTGCTTACATCATGGCTTCCTTTTTCGTTCTTGCTTTACGTCTAATGGATTTTCTTTCTGCATTTTTCGTTTTCAATTTTTTTCATTTGCACTTTAATATTTTCCATTCTCTTTGCTGAATATGAATTATAAATGTCATTCATTCCTTCGTCTTCTTTCTTTTTCCTTTAATTTATTTTTCTTTCGTTCTATCGTTTTATTTTTATTTTTCTTTCCTACGTAGAGTACTTAATTTTCTTTCTTTCTTTCTTTTTTCATTCGCCCCTTTCTTTCTCGTTCTCCTTTTCTTTCTATTTTCTTTCTTGCGTAGTTTGCTTTCTTTTCATTCATTCTCTACTTTTCTTCTTGTTTTTCTTTCAAGCTTCTCTTTCTTTTTTTTCTTTTTTACTTTCTCCTTTTCTTCCTTTTTTGTCCCACGTAGGTTACTTTCTTTTCTTTTGTCCTCTCCTTTTCTTTTTTGCAGTTTTTCTTTCAAGGTTTTCACTCTTTTCTGTTTCTATTTTTCTTTCTTACGTAGATTTCTTTTCTTTCTTTTCCTTCGTACCCTTCTTTCTTTCTTTCTTTCTTTCTTTCTTTCTTTAAGATTGAGATTGTGATTGAGTTGGAGGTAGAGTAATAGTGTGAGGTAACCGCTTGTAGAAGTCAAAGTTACAAGTACGTAGACTTCTTTCTTTCTTTCTTTCTTTCTTTCTTTTCTTTTCTTTTTCTCCCATCTCCCTTCCCTTTCCTTTCTTGTCTAATTATCCATCTTTCCTTTTCAACGGTGCACTTTCGAAGTGAGACTAATGTTCTTTTCTTTTTTCATTATTGATTTCTCAGTGCTGATCTTACCAATTTCTTCTCGACCCTCCATATCCACCAGCGTGTTTTCTGAAATCAATCTTCCGTGGATTTTCTTTCTTTGTCAGTTTTTCAAAACACGGCGAAAAAAAAGGAAGAAACGAGATTTACTACCGTGAAATCTCAGACGAGATTTCACGATGAGACTTTTCCCTCGACACTCGAATTCCCGCTAGTTAATTCCCGGGTTCGATATGTATTTGCCTGTCTGCATTCGCCCGCCTTCACATGGTGTCGCGTTGGCAGATGAAGGAGGGGGGCGTCTTCTAGAATTACATTACTATTTATATGACCAGTGATGTCGTCTAGCTGATTTTACAAGTATAATCAAAGCTTAATATTATTTACATTCATTGTTGTTGTTATTTCAGTGCGTCAGGCACAGTACGAAAAAGAATCCTGGGCGAGTGTAATTAATTTGATTTGGTTTGGTTTATTGTGTTTTACGGTACATCAACCTCAATGGGTTATTGTTATAGGGTCCACCCCTTTTTCATACAAGTGGACTCGACCAGTTTGTACTTGTACTGCTGCCGTTTAATACCCAGAGTCAGTCAGAATATAGAGAGATTGAGATTGTGATTGAGTTGGAGGTAGAGTAATAGTGTGAGGTAACGGCTTGTAGAAGTCAAAGTTACAAGTACGTAGACTCTAAGGAAGTCCTACTTCGAGACTGGATTAATCAGACTGTATATATATATATATATATATATATATATATATATATATATATATTAATTATTGCTACTGACCGCGTTTCTGGATCTACTAACAGTATTACCCATTGTATTATTGTGTAAATACATTTCATTTGTTATATTTCATTCCTGCGTTTGTCATTCATTGGAGACTGGATTTCATCCCGGAATCCACAACAGTTATGTAATGTCGACAAAGTTTTTATTGATGGTAATATTTTGTTTTGTCAAAAATCTATTTCTGGTCATACTTTTTCCTCAAAAATCTATTGCTGGTAATAGTTTTTCAAAAACTTATTGTTGGTAATATTAGTTTTTCAAAAATGTATTGCTGATAATAGTTTTTTTTTTCAAAAACGTATTGTTGGCAATATTTTTTTCTCAAAAATGTATTGCTGGTAATAGATTTTTCTTCAAAAATTTATTGCTGATAATATTTTTTTTTACAAAGTATTCCTGGTACTAAAACCCATTTTTACTCCAGTTTGGGGGTTAACTATTTGCCCATAGCTAGGAGCCTTACAGCTGCTACCACCCCGGGTCAGTGTGGACTTGGGAACATCAGCAATTAAGAGGTGGTTCCACGCTCCTCAAAACTGATCAGAGGCCTTGCTGCTGGACGTAGTTTATCGTCATACCCAGGACGGGAGTGTAATTAAGCCTGAAAAACAGTAGCATTACTCAGTAACAGGAATGTTAGGGTTAAGGAGCTAGATTTTCCACTCGGGATTGTTCCACGGTATTAAAGCTTTGGTTCGTGAATTTGCTGAGATAAAAATTATGACTCAGAAGCACTAAATAGGAAATAGAAGAGATATTACTAGACGCGAGCATTGAAACGAGAAAAAAATTAACCCGTAGATTAAACAAAGGGTTCAGTTCGAAATTCCTTGGATGTTTCCTGGATCGAGGAGCACCTGAAAACTCCGGAGGGTTCGAGGGTCGAAACATTGAGGTAAAAACAACAAAAAATGCGTCCGACTTGACCTAAATAGTTGTAAGTTCAATACCAAGTTACTGCAGTGATGAACAAACGGAGAGTTGAGTTAAAGGGAGATAACTAAGACATAAAAGGCATGGCACGTGGAGCTGGAAAAATCTACCTCCGTAAAGTGTTCATTTCGAAAATTCCAATCACCTGAAGAAACGTCGGCAAATATGACAATGAATATGAATTTAACTATGTAAGTAAAGAGGTGTGATATAGGAAATTGTGGAGATCCATAATCGATACGGCACATGAGGATTGTGATTAACAAATAATAATACAACTCAATTCAAACCAAAAACTCATAAACTGTTATTGAGTATATTGCTCGTATTGAGGCTCCGTGACTTGAACGCCTGTTGTATAGTGATTTTCCAAGCATAGCTTAGATGGTCATTTACTAAGCGTAGCTTAGATATGGCATAAGGCTGAAAGTATGGAGCACCTAGTGAGGATGGAAATCACTTCTCGGTCGTAACTGATCGAGCGAGATGAGCTGGCTAAACATTACACAACACCAAGGTGCCCAAGTGATTTTCAGAGCGTAGCTTAGATGTGGTAAAAGGCCGAAAGTTTAGGGCACCCAGGGAGGATCGAATGCACTACTCATTCGTAATTGATCAGACGAGACAAGCTTTCGGGGTGCTCAAAATGGAACTTATATATACAATCCATTGTTAAAGATGCTTGAAAAAAAAATGAGGGTTTGAAAAAAAATCACATTCCAGTAAGTAACTGACTAAATTCACAAGAGTCAGAAAATTATGTACTTCTTGCGCAGTCTCCATATTCCAGTCTGGAAGAGCGTGTCTACGCGGCCTTGTGAGTGATATGCATTATTTTCCACGTCGCAAGCCTTTCTCTACTCTATCGTTATTTCCATGAGAAGTGTTCAGGCGAAATTCATTCCACGTCGTAATCATTTCTCTAATCTATAGTTAATTACGTGAGAAGTGTCCAGGCGAAATTCATTCCACGTCGTAATCCATTTCAACTCTATCTTTATTTCCATGAGAAGTGTTCATGCGAAATTCATTCCACGTCGTAATCCATTTCTACTCTATCGTTATTTCCTTGAGAAGTGTTCAGGCGAACTTCATTCCACGTCGTAATTCTTTCTCTACTCTATCGGTATTTCCATGAGAAGTGTTCAGGCGAACTGCATTCCACGTCGTAATCCATTTCTACTCTATCGTTATTTCCATGAGAAGTGTTCAGGCGAACTTCATTCCACGTCGTAATCCTTTCTCTATTTTATCGGTATTTCCATGAGAAGTGTTCATGCGAACTTCATTCAACGTCGTAGCCCATTCTCTACTCTATCGTTATTTCCATGAGAAGTGTTTAGATTAAATTCATTCCACGTCGTCACCCTGTCTCTACTTTATAGTTATTTCCATGAGAAGTATTCAGGCGAACTTCATTCCAGGTCGTAATTCTTTCTCTACACTATCGTTATTTCCATGAGAAGTGTTTAGGTGAAATTCATTCCACGTCGTAATCCATTTCTACTCTATCGTTATTTCCATGAGAAGTGTTCAGGCGAATTTCATTCCACGTCGTAATTCTTTCTCTACTCTATCGTTATTTCCATGAGAGGTTTTCAGGCGAACTTCATTCCACGTCGTAATCATTTCTCTAGTCTATATTTAATTCCATGAGAAGTGTCCATGCGAACTTCATTCTACGTCGTATACCATTCTCTACTCTATAGTTTTTTCCTTGAGAAGTGTTCAGGCGAATTTCATTCCCCATCGTAATGCTTTCGCTACACTGTCGTTATTTCCATGAGAAGTGTTCATGCGAAATTCATTCCACGTCGTAGTCCATTCTCTACTCTATCGTTATTTACATGAGAAGTTTTCAGGCGAACTGCATTCCACGTTATAATCATTTCTCTAATCTATAGTTAATTCCATGAGAAGTGTTCAGGCGAACTGCATTCCACGTCATAATCATTTCTCTAATCTATCGTTATTTCCATGAGAAGTGTTCAGGCGAAATTCATTTTCGTAATCCTTTCTCTTTAGTTATTTCCATGATGTGTTCAGGCGAATTTCATGAGAAGTGTAATCCATTTCGAATCGTTATTTCATTCCACTTCGTCGTAATCCTTTTTTTCTATCGTTATTTCCATGAGAAGTGTTCAGGCGAACTTCATTCCACGTTAATCCTTTCTCTTTCCATCGTTATTTCCATGAGAAGTGTTCAGGCGAACTTCATTCCACGTCGTAATCCTTTCTCTACTCTATCGTTATTTCCATGAGAAGTGTTCAAGCGAACTTCATTCCACGTCGTAATCCTTTCTCTACTCTATCGTTATTTCCATGAGAAGTGTTCAAGCGAACTTCATTCCGTTAATCCTTTTCTACTCTATCGTTATTTCCATGAGAAGTGTTCAGGCGAACTTCAGAAGTGTTCTATCGTTATTTCCATGAGAAGTGTTCAGGCGAACTTCATTCCAGGTCGTAATCCTTTCTCTACTCTATCGTTATTTCCATGAGAAGTGTTCAGGCGAACTTCATTCCACGTCGTAATCCTTTCTCTACTCTATCGTTATTTCCATGAGAAGTGTTCAGGCGAACTTCATTCCACGTCTTATCCTTTTCCTCTATCGTTATTTATTTGAGAAGTCTTTATTCCACGTCGTATCGTTCTATCGTTATTTCCAGAAGTGTTCACGTCTCACTAACACGCCATAACCCCGTTTTTCCAGTGAACCACGAACTCATTCCGTCGTAATCCTTTCTCTTTTCGTTAGTCCATTGTTGAAATATAAGTTCTCTATCGTTATTTCCATGAAAGCAAGCGAACTTCTTTCCACGTCGAACCGCTGCTGAGAAGTGTTGGAATCGTCGTAACTTTTCTACTCTATCGTTATTTCAAGAGGATACATGAGAAGTGTTCAGGCGAACTTCATTCCAGAACAATCTTTTTCTCTATCGTTATTTCCATGAGAAGTTTAGGATTAACCAGGTTATCCTTTCTTCTTCGTTATATCCGAGAAGTGTTAAGCTTCATTCCCCCTTTTAATTCGTTATGCTGTAAAGTGTTTTACGAACTTTTTTTTTTTTCATTTTTCTACTTTCATTTTTCCTTAAAATTTTTCTTTTTTCTATCGTTATTTTTTTTTTTTTTCTTTTCTTTTCGTTTTTCTTTTCTGTTCAAGCGAACTTTTCCACGTTTCCTTTCTTCTTTTTCGTTATTTTTGTTCAGGCTTTCTTACGTAGTTTCCTTTCCTTTCATCCATGTTCACCTTTTCTTTCATTTAACACGCCATACCCCGTTGTAGTGAACCACGCTTTCTTTCTTTGTTGAAAATAAGTTCTTCTCTTGCCATGAACCGCTTTTCATCTAATTTTCTTTTTTTTTAACCGTTATCTTTTCATATTTTGGTTTGTTTCTTATTGCTACCTTATTTTTTTTCATTTTTTCATTTCATTTTTCTTAAAATTTTTTCTCTTTCCCTATTTTTTTTCTTTTCTTTTCTTTTCCTTTCAAGCCTTTTTTTTCTTTTTCTATTTTTTATTTCTGACGTAGTTTCCTTTCCTTTCATCCATGTTCACCTTTTCTTTCATTCTTTCTTTCTTTCTTTAAAAATTCTCTTCTCCCTCCTTTTCATCTAATTTTTCTTTTTTTTCCTTTCTTTTTTGGTTTGTTTCTTGCTTGCTTTTTCTTTCTTTTTCTTTTCCTTTTTTCTTTTATTTTTTTTTCTTAGTTTTTTCACCACGCCTTTTCTTTTTTTTTTCTTTCTTTTTATTTTATCCCATTCTCATATAATTTTCTTTCTTTCCTTTTTTTTTTTTTTATTTTTTTTTTTATTTTTCCCTCTTCTTTTTCTTTTTCTTTCATCCTTTCATCCTTGCTCTTCTTTCTTTCTTTCCTTTTTTCTTTCTTTCTTTTCATCCCAACTCTACTCTCTCTCTTTTTTCGTCTAATTTTCTCTTTCCTTTTCAGTGGCACAATTTCGAACTAAGACCCACAATTTTTCTTTGTACATTATTGATTTCTCTGCGCAGATCTTACCAATTTCTTCTAGCTCCTTCATATCCACCAGTGCATTTTCTGAAAATCAATCTTCTGTGGATTTTCTTTATTTGGCTCTTGAGAAAAAAAATGGAATCAAGGAAGAAACTTATACTGAACATCAGGATGAGACAGTTAAAATTTCTAGGGCATATAACGAGGAAAGATGGCTTGGAAAATCGGATACCCACAGGACAGATTGAGGGCAACTGGGGTATAGGAAACCAGCGCATAACATACTACATGGCTTTAAGTATATGGATGACGCAACAGTATTTAAAAGAAATATTTATTAAGAGCTACAAAGGACAGGAAATTGAAGAGAGTCATGACCGTATACGCCCTGAGGAGACAAGGCACATAACGTAAAAGAATATGATGTGGATTTTATATCTCGGTTATATAATGCCTTACCCGTAGCTGAGAGACACACCTCTTTTCTGAATCTACCAACCGGTATCCTTAATACGTCTTTCGAAGTAGAAAGATTCCTGGAAATAGTTCCGAACGCGTCAACCACAAAAGGGGCAACTTGTGCTACGGCATGGTACATTTCTCCGATTTTTCCCTGTCAGGATCGCTGTAATTTCTTCTGTTCCATCTTCACGGTGTTGTTAGTTCAACGTACCACAACTTCTATCAATCAGGATCCACTCATAACTGCTCGTGCTCACAAGAGTGATATCAGGGCGATTGCTTTCCAAGAGCTTGTCAGTCGACATGGTTACATTCCACATGAGCTTTACTAGGACGTTCTCTGCTTCTGAACACTTGTATCACTACTTCGCGCGCTCGAGGCCATACTTCACGGAATATTCTGATGGCTAATTTGTTAGGGCGTCGTTTGTACACTTTTGGGGCCAGCTGAGTGCAGCCATTTCAAATAATGTTGCGTAACGTAAACAGTCAACATATATTAGTCTCATTTACCTATAAACACATTTTTTAAACCCACCATTTGACCAGTATTTGTGTGGCTTAATTTTTGCCTGACAATACGTCTTTTGCTTAAACGCAACCGCAATTTTTGTCTGACAATACGTCCTTTGCTTAAACGCAACCGCAATTTTTGTCTGACAATACGTCCTTTGCTTAAACGCAACCGCAATTTTTGCCTGACAATACGTCCTTTGCTTAAACGCAACCGCAATTTTTGTCTGACAATACGTCCTTTGCTTAAACGCACCGCAATTTTTGCCTGACAATACGTCCTTTGCTTAAACGCAACCGGAGTACGGATTCTCGGGCAAAAATTAATTTTTTTTAAATGTTTCACGGTTGGGTCTAACAAATAGAAGAAGGAAAACATTTCATTGTAACTAAACTCGTAAAAGTTGTAGAAATCAAAGAAGGGTCTGCAATGTTATCGGTCCTGACCTGGCATCTCTGTCAATATTTCCAGGACAATTTTTCTAATGAGTTCGGTTCCTTCCTATCTAGCATGCTTGAATTTATGCGTAGTAACAGATTGACAAATAGGTTTCATCGTTTGAAACAGTTGAACTAGCTAGAGGGAATCGTAAGTTCTATTCTAAGAGTTTCTTTTCTATCATTTCACATCTGGAAAAATCTATTTCGGTTTCTTTTTTCTCTACCACATCCAATCTTCAAAAATTTAAATGAAACGCCAATCGTCATCTTCTTGAATCCGATTCGCTTATTATCCTTTCTCCTCGCTAAAGTCTTCTCATGCTCTTGCACTGTCAGTAAACACTTAAGTCGTAGCGGATGTATCGCCCTGTTTTAAATGATTAAAATAAACAAACATAATAACGTATTTAGTAATTTTTGCTTTAATTATAATTTTGTTCTTTGTTGTTCTGAGTTGCTTAAGTCATACTCTCATCAATAATGCAGTTTAAGATTAATCATATTTGATTACAGTTGCTGATAAACGATTTGCTTATCAAAACTGTTGTATATTTATATTTTTAGACTTTTATTTTTTAAATAATAACTGCAATTGCAATCTGTGTATGGGGTGAAATCATGGAAGTTTAAGTCTGGAAGCATCTCTAGTCTATCCTAGTTATGGCGATTTCTGTCCGCAACCAACTTCCAGTGGTGGTAAATTTATCGTATTACGTGTGCTCAACCTACCAGTGCAATTTTTATATGAGGGTGCCAAATATCTGAAAGGAGGCATTGGAGAAGAAAAAGTTAAAAATCTGTGGTTTAAATATTCGAAGTTAAATTATTTACACGTCTTGGTAGAAGTGTAACTCCGCACTCTTATTTTTTGTATTTCTTTTCAGCTGGCTTGCTTTATACACTTGCGAAGTAATATGACTTAAAATCAGCTTACCGCAAGCAAGGCGACGAAGCCACTCAGACGCAAGTGGTTACTGAGGTTGAGAGACAATACAGTGACGGTAATAGAGAAAGCCTTACCTAGAAGTAAAAAAAAATATATATATAAAGAACAAAAGAAAGTAATAGATGATGATGATTGACGTTGCATTTAAAGTTTTGAAATTCGTTGTTAACCCTTTGGAGATAGAGGTTCATTTGGAGTTTCAGCGCCAAGAAGACGGAGCCCTTTTCATATAGCCTTACTTGGAACACAAAAAAAGAAAAAAAAATCGACGTAAAATCACAAACACCGCAAACTGTGATAGATACCGTCATTGAAAGGCCTAGGTATGCAAGATATGCGAGAAGCTATCTGATTGGCCAGTACGAAGACCAGCCAGCTAATCTCGGGGCTTGTATTATCGGGCCGACGGATCGACCCAGTCTTCTTCGTCATTCGATTTTTCGGCCGTTAGATCGGTCCTGTCGTCTCCTAAGGGTTAAAAAGAAAGCAAGAAGCTGGAATAGATGTCCGCCGTTGGGGAGTGTGACAGAAGAAAATACAAAAAACAGAACTTTGCGCTTAGCGATTTCAGAAGTAAAAGGACGTGACCTTGCTGCCAATCTGACACTACGCTTAAATTCATGAGGTCGAAGTTCGAAAGTGGAAAGGTCATCAGAACAAGATTGAAGCGGATATGCCACGAAATTAGGACAAATGATATTAAACATTCTTCTTTTGCATTTTGTCAAGAACCTCCAGATATAGAGCAGAAAAAAAAAAAAAGATCAGATGCGGCAACAATATTTAGTGTACGGACGAAAGATAAACTTCTAAAAGGGCAAGAAAGATCCAGGCGAGAAATATATCTAGCCCAATTATTATTATTTAAAATTATTCTTATTCTTCTTATTATTATTCGCTTTGATTTCTGGTGTGTACTCATTTCTTTCGAGAAATATATGTAGCACGATTATTATTATTTAGAATTATTATTATTATTGTTGTTGTTATTATTATTATTATTATTATTATTATTATTATTATTATTATTATTTCCTTTGATTTCTGGTGTGTACCCATTTATTTCCGGGTCACGTCCAGAGACCTAAGGTCAGATATGGCATCATGGCATTTTCCACTGAGCAATTTAAAAAAAAAAAACAAAAAAGAACAAAAAACAAAAAGACATATTTTACATAGATAAAGCCCTTCGTAAGGTGTGGGCTGTACTCGTGAGAACAATTTTTTGTATTTCTTTCAGGTATGGGCTTCCAGAAATCCCTCCATTGAGTCTATTAGAATCTTTTCCAATCAGTCCGAGGGCTCCAACTACAACAGAGTTTGTTGATATTCTCAGGTGCCACATTTTTGACATTTCGATTTCAAGTTCCTTGTATTTTGATAGCTTTTTGAAGATCTTCAAAGATACATTGCAGTCAGCAGGGACTGCCATATCAATAAGGAGGCAATTTGTTGTTTGCGGTCTCTAATAATGATGTTATTATTATTATTATTATTATTATTTGAATGTTTTGACAACTGTGATTTGAAAGTTAGGTTATTCTTGTTCAAGGTTTCACTAAATGCGTATTTTGCATGTTAAATAATTTTAATAATCAAGCAAGCAAAAAAAGGAAACGAGAGAGTAAAAGAGGGGAGCGAAGGTCAGCAAATTATCTTTGAAGTCCGACATTTGGCACCACTTGTGATCGCCATCATCTGCATTCAACAAAACCCAGGAAACCCCGCCCTGAAAATTTGTTAACGAAGCTCCCCACACCATTGGATTTCTGAAGGACGCGCGTAACACGTCTCCAAGCCATTTTCGAATGCGTTGATTAGTAATTTGTTTGTAAACTAATTGTGTTTTCCCAGATTTGATTTGATTAAAACGAGAAGAACAGAACAGCAAGAGAATTTCAGTTTGCGGAGAGGGAACATCTGTCAGAGCCAAAAACATGCTCCGACATCGACTTGTCGTTAAAAAAAATACACAAATAATTGTAGGAAATTTAAAAAAATAAATAAAGATAAAACCTAAAAAAAATAAAAATAAAATAAAATAAAAAAAAACTCGAGAAAGTCTTAACTGCTTCGTTTGTCGTTTTTGGCCATTAACCGCCAAAGCAGCCAATGAAAATAGATGAAAACTGTGACGTCATTTAATCGTACTATTCAAGACAAGGGGAGGAGGGGTGGGAATAAGTAAAGGTGTTAAAGAGAAATTAGGAAGTTTGAACGGTGAAGCCTTTATTGGGGAGGCAGTGAGAGATGAAGAGGTCGACAAATTAAAGAAAGAAAGAAGGAAAGAAAGAAAGAAAAAAAGAGGGGGTAAAAAGAAAGAAAGAAGGGGTAAAAAGAAAGAAAGAAAGAAAGAAAGAGGGGGTAAAAAGAAAGAAAGAAAGAAAGAAAAATAAAAAGAAGAGGAAATATAAGAAAAATTAGAAATGGGAGACAAAATACGAAAAGAAAGCAGAGAGGAAATAAAAGAAATAAAGAAATGGGAGATGAATCAACAAAGAAAGAAAGGCAAAATATATAAATAAAGAAAGAAAGAAAGAAAGAAAAAAGAAAGACGAAATAAAACAAATAAAGATATGGGTGATTAAATAGGAA